TTTTATTATGCTTATGAGATCAACAATATTATATGGGATTGTATGTTGGGTTGCTAAGGATCAATATATTCACAAGATAAATGCCATAGTTAGGACCAACTTGCACACAGTCACACACCTCAATTAACTCATTGTGTAGCCTATGCAGCCTACAAGAGCATGTCAAATTAATATTTTCTACTAAGGATGAAACAGATGGGCGCATACCAAGTGTTATAGTTGGTTCAAATATAGGTTCTCCCGGTGTTGTAACATTGATGCATCAATCACTAGACCATTCCCTTGGGGGCATTCAAAAATATTTACTTAATGTTTAGTTTAAGATAGATGTGGGTCCCCACATACAAGATTAGAAATGGTTATATCTATTGAAGGTGCAAGTAGCACACTCAAAAAGTAAACTGAGAAAAGATCATCTAAAATGGTTCATCATGGCCCTAAGACGTGGAGAAATGTGATCTTAATTGTATGCTAACACACAGTAATACCTTATGGGTCAAGATCAATTATGTTTAGATTTCTTTTTTCAACCAAAGGATTAAAATGTGATCATTTTGTTCCATGTTTTGTAAATAGTGGAGGATGTTCCAATTGTAACGCAAACAAGGATGGAGAGGATCTGTATATGATGTGCAGGTTGATCAGAGAAGATGTAGAAGTCGTAGTCTCACACAAAAAGATTTGTTCAAGGCTTTAAGCAATTTCTTTTTGATTGTCAATAAGTCAATCCTAAGCTTGAATGCTCGTTTGACTTTTTGACCAACTAATGATGCACATGGATTCCATTTCCTTAGTTACCACTATATGAACTGGCCTAGAGGTGGGATGAAGGTGTTAGATAGGTAGGTAGACCTAGATCATACCGACAAATGTCGTGTGAAAGATCCACTATCTCTCGGAATTCTTGCGGACTTAGCTAAGAATATAACGTAATGCAAATGAAGGACCCATGTAAGCCTATCAGTTAGTTGGGATTACGAAATTACTAGTCGTTATTGCACTTATTTTCGGTTTTAATACACAACTTGATACATCAACTTGCACAATTTTGCAAAGTTGACCTCTATACGTAGAGTTCGTCCAACTAAAGACTTCTAGTTGGTTAGGACACATGTTTTAACTTTTATGCGCCTCCAGAGGATTTATCATTGTGCGTGACTTACTCATCATTCAAATTTATGACGTCAGTTGCAAATCATTTCGAAAGACGGAAATAAAATAAAAAGGTGGAGAAAGGAAATATTATGTTCTTCTCTTTGTACTTTTTGATAAATGAACCTAAGTCTCAAAAGTGAAGGAGAGTACTCCAATTGGGGGTCGCCTAGAAGCTTTTCCAGTTAGCTTTCTCTTTACCTCCAAATAAATCTCCTGGGATTCTTCTCTCTACTCCGATCACCCCTCTCATCCTCCATTTGAAAAACAACCATTAACTGTAAAAAAAAGAAGAAGAGAGGCAACAGGAAATAATACCCCGAGGAACACAAAATCAACATATCTTTCCTCTTTTTTCTGTCTGCCAGAAGCCAACATCTTCCTTATAGTCATTGTCTAGTCATTGTCATTACCGCCCCTCACCTTTCCTTTCCCACAGAACAGTTCCTGGTCAACCGCTCCCGCTTGTTTTACTGTCAGTTGTCTGGCATCATAAAATAGGCAGCACATGAAAGCTGTTTTTGGGTCCCCACTGTTGGGTTTCTCTTCCATTATGCCCAAAGACTTCTACCTCTATAATTAAGCTGTTTGATGAAAGCCTCCATGAATGCGCTTCATTGGTGTTGGTGGATGATGGAATGTCGCAAATAGAGGAATTCTGAGCTCAATGGAAACACTGAAAGGTACAAATTGTGGCCCTACAAAGCTTCGAGACGATGGTACTATGGTGAAAGTGGAGATTTTCTAATTAACTTCCATAAAAAAGAATATGTGAGAGAGAAGGGCCAAACTTTCACCCATTTGGCTGCATCAGCCGGACTGACGCCTCATAAGCATGGTCAAAGTTCCGGACATCAATTTACAGTTTTTAGGCTATGGCATGCTGCCTACAGTTAGCTATTTTTTAGCTTCTTTCAGTACACCTTCCTCTTGTTCCTTCATTTTTATTAGTGGAGAACCAACTCTTACTAGAGTCCCTGTATTCCCTGTTATTAGGCTTTCACTACCAAGAAGTGGGAGGAGTCGCCAATCCCAGAAATGATTGCCTAATGCCTTACTCTTCTAGAAATAGTTCTATCTCCTTAGGTTTGAATTCCTTCAGGAGATAACTAACCATCTTCAAATAAATCCAACAAAATTAGTTGATGTTTAGGCTGGTATCAGATACAAAGTAGTTCTTTGACTTCTTGTTCCTGTTATATTAAACCATAAGACAGTTAGCAGATAACATGAAACAAAATCAAAGTTCAAGACAAGTCATGTTAAAACAGTAAGGGGTTGTTTGGTGAAGTGTATAATAATAATGCAGAATAGGGTGTCTTAGTGAATCCGGAGCCAAAAGGGCCACTTTTCCAAGCAAAATGCATAAAGGGGCCTCCTGTTTGGAGATGACCAAACAGTCGAGTCGCTGGTTTATGAGCGACTTACCCAAAATATAACGGCTGGGTCAAGGAATCAAATAATATTACCTTATACTTATAATCTTGCCATGTTCTACGTGCAAATCTGGAATGTTTTAAACCGTTTTCAAAAAAGCTAGTGTAGATGAGATATTTATTCCCATTATAGTTGAAATTTATAGCTGTAGTATCACATAATATTTTAACTAGTCGTTGCTAAACCGGTCCGTAGATTGTCTCATTGATAGCAGATAGGTAGAATCACTGCTTGGTTTTGTTGCTTTTGTGTCAGAGTTATTGTGACTATTGTTATATGCATGTTTGTCAAAGAAAAAGAAAAGGCTGGATGAAATTTATATATGTTCAGTCATCTTTGATTGTTTTATACCACCCTGTGTTCCTTAAAAAAACACTTAGCTTATCTACATGGTCTGACCTGTTTTCCTGGATCTGTGGCATAGGGAGGACGATTTTGACTTGGATCTTGAGGATATCATGGTTATGGAAGCCATATGGTTATCCATTCAGGTAAATTATGCACACACTATCTTCTTGCTTCTTCCTCGGTCATTTTATTTCCTGTTGTTGGGGAGGCAGCATCCCATTTAAAAAGCTAGAGCTTTTATCTTTTGTTTGACGTACGCCGTACGGTTTAAAGTGTTTGATTTCTCTTTTCTGAGGGGAGTGCTTGATTTTTCTGTTCTCCGTTGTGGATGGTTGTGGCGTAAAGGGGTCAAAAGTGTCGTCTTTCACTCAATTCAAGTATATGATGGAAATGGGCATTTCTTGTTTTCGCCTAGGGCTTGCAATATTGATTTTGAATTTTTGATAGTCATCCTTCACTTTTTTGAAAATCTTTAGTGGAAAATATTTCACAATGGTGTTCCATTGAAATGGGATATCATTTATTTTCTTTCACTGTGTCCCTATTGCTGCTTTTAACATGCTGATACTCTTTGGGATTGGTTGATCATTCGGTCATTCTTTTACCTGTTGAACTTACGTTATTATGGTATATCACTTAATATTCCACATGAAACTGATCACATGATAGGAGAATGGCAGAAATCGAAGTATGGACTATAGTGATGTTGGTCCATCAGAACAATATACAGAAGAAGATCATCGATGTGTCCCAGCAGTCAATCCCACAGCTTCTGGCTCATCTTCGTCTCCTTCTGGTGGTCTTGCTTGTGCAATTGCAGCCCTGGCTGAGCGCCAGCAAATGAGTGGAGAGTCCAGTAGCTACAGTCGGAACATGTCATCATCGTACAATGAGCATCCTTCATGTGATAGGTTTTCCAATGGGGAGGAGCTAGAGAATGATGATTACCCTCATGCTGAGGGCACCATGCACGTGTCACCTGAAAGCCATCTGGAAATACCAAGGGAGGACGGTGAATGGGCTGATCATGGTTCCATGGTAGCCGAAGTTGGAACTAGTTATGCAGTCTCTGACGAAATGGAAGATGATGCTTCATTCCCTCTGCAGGGTGAAATGGTAAGCGATCTTCAACCCAACACTAGTTCAATAGTTCCCGAGAATTTTGAAGAGCAGATGATGTTAGCTATGGCTGTTTCACTGGCTGAGGCAAGTGCACGGTCTAGTCCACCCGGGGTGGCCTGGCACTAGTAGTGCTATCGATGTGGGTTATGAGGATTCCACTTGTGTTGCATTGCCACTCAACCCAAAAAGAAAAAGTAAAAAAAGAAAATGCTTCTACTTTTTTTCCCTTCCTTTCTCCTCTACCTTTTTCCATCTCACTTTTCCTACTTTTCATCCCTTTCGTATCTCGATATACTGTTGTACGAAAACAAAGAAATTGATTCTAGTGAATGAAATGTTGCTTGAGCCCTGCATATAACAAGTTTTGCAAGTTAACTCATTCATAAAATTGTAAATAGTTGTGGAGTTAAAGTTGTACTTGGTTTCAAGATTAGCTCTATTATTGAAAAAACTAACTGGCACTGGCCTCGAGTCTGCGTAGTTTACATAGTTTTTTCTTAGAAATTAGCTAAAAGGTGTGTTTATAGACCTCAATGCTTTAATTTCTGAGGATGATAAAAGAGTTTTATGGTAAGTTATTTCAAGTGCCAGTTACACACAAGTGCCAAACTTCAAAAAGAGGATAGCATGTACAAAGTGAGTATATCTTTTCTCTGTTTTGAATGATTGTGTATGTAGTCTTCAAGAACAATTACGACTATAGGGTGAAGAGGTGGGGGGTGAGATGTTCAAGGTCGTTAGGTGAGTGGGGAAGAGATAACGGACTTAGAGTATATCACTTATGAAACTTGTTTTATCTTCGTTCATTAGGAAAGTTATTTCTTTTTCATTTGAGGGGGCTTATATTTCTTAGATCAAATATTTTTCAGAACATTGAAAAAATTTATAATTCTCTTATATCTGTATTTGTCCAAATAAAATACTCTTATCACAATAACACGAGAACAAAATAAAGTGTTACTTTATGTTGCATAGCTTAGTAAACATACCCCCAAAAGGTAGGGGATTGATTTATTATATTACATATATGTGGGGATTACATCTAGCTGGTTACATTCTCCAAAGAAAATAACAAGGCACTACTAAAAAACAACAAAACAATAGAGATCATTAATTAAGAAAATATTTTGATATTTTCTTCGATGAGAATTCTGGCTCCGTCGCTGTGTTTGAGCTCGGAATGATGAGAAATTTGACACTCTGTTGGTGACTTTGGTCCCAAGAGTATAATGCCATGTGTCCATATAGTGATGATAATAATGCTTGATATTCCTACAAATATTGTTTCACAATTCCATTGTACACGATTTCTTGAACAAAGGTTAGAGCAAAAAGGCATGTAATGCAAAAAAGCAAGACTACAATATGTTTAAAATTTTAAAGTAAATCATCTAAATCATTTCTAAGTTCAAGTAAAAATAACAAGGATCATTCTTACAAATAGTATATAAGAATGGTGATTATTTTTTTTAAATTACAAATTTGACACTTTTATATTATAAAAGGTATATAAATTCAAGGACGATCAGCTGAACGATCTTCAACTAAAAAACTATTTCATATATAGGATCAAATATTGCTTCACCGCCCCACAAACATGCATCAAACATTCAATTAAGGTACAATACAATATACTACATGAGCATTTTGCTAAAATAAATAATAATAATAACATATTCAGTATGATTTCATAAGCAGGTCATGAAATGTATATAAATCTTATTCTTACCTCTTGCTCAATATAAAATATGCTTTCAAAAAACTTTCGACTAAAAAAACTAATCTTTGAAAGAAGTTTCAATAAATAGTTTACTAAAGTAAAATAAGACAAATAACATACCGTAATAAATTAAACAAACAATATTGATAAGCACTCTTTTGAGATCAAAGTCACCAACAAAGTGTCATCTTCTACTTCTTCATTAATTCAATTTCCTCTATGGTATATTCAATGTAGCAAATTTTACTCCTTTTATAGATAAGATTATTGATATGATGCAGTACATTATATTATTCTTTCACAAATATAAGTGGCCTAGCAAGTACATGTGTATGATTGTACTACAATAACTTATATATTTTATCATCAAGAGTGCCTCAATTTTTTTTAGTAGTACCATTTTTTTTTAACAGTAGTACAATTCTAGTACTGCTAATCATACGCGAAAATATAGGGTTTACATAAAAACTCTGTGTTTGAGGGTTCGAAAAGAGAGGAGGGTTCGAATTATTTTGTAGTCACTTCTTTGCCATTGAACTGGATTCAAAAGTTAATATATATTTTTATTTATTTATTTTTTTAGTAAAAGTATAGGGTTTATGAAAGAATTACTGAATTCATTCGAACCCCACCTAGCTCCGCCTCTGCTTCTAATATTATATTTGACATTTCTATTGCACAAAATTTTGCAAGATTAGATATTGTGGAACATAAGTATTAAGTAGTACCAAGTGTACTACCCAATTTGGAGTACTACTGAAAATGCTCAATCGTGTTTGGACCTTTTTTAAAAAAACCAAAAAAAGTTACCATTATTATTAATTTAGTGAAGAAGAATCAAATAAGTTCAATGATCTAATCAAATTCAAGTTTCGTGGGCCCCATCTCTGATTTTTTTCAATCTCATCTTCACTTTATTTATTCTAAACTATTTCTGAATCTAACTTTAATTCACTTACATGTCATTTTTAATTACTGCATAGCGTTATACATATATTAATAATTTGAACATTAGTTATATAACCGTGACTTCTAACGACGACATATAAGGAACAAAGTGTACATCTCTAGTCTAGATAATAAATAAAATAAAAGATGAATAATAGACTAAATAATGTTTAACTAATTCTATTGACTTTTCTCTATGTTTTTTTCCCAAGTATTGAAGGTAGATGATTTAAAAGGTTTATCACATAGAAAAATAAATAATAGATTTCCAGGAAATCTTTTAATTATTGAATTTTATAGATATAAATTAATGCTTATATGAAAATAATACTGCACAGGCATTCACATATGACTTTCGTATTAAATTATTAATAGGCGAAAAACATACCTCATGATTGAATTTCAATCAGTTTTATTTTATTCGGTGTTTGTTGATAGTGTTGTTATTTAATTAAATTAAAATTCATATTATATAATTCAATGTTTTTTATATATTCTTTTCATTTTCAAAAGTTAAAATTCCATACTTTTAATTTAAAGCACAAGGATCACAACTCACAACCCATGATAATCAATTCTTCATTTAACCTATAATACGAAAAGTCTTCATTCACATATTATGACCCATCATCTTGATTAATTAATGTACAATCCATGCATTTTTCGTTTAAGATCTAAACCAAATCAAAATAAGTTAAAGTTTACGTGTACGAGTCAAATCGTGAATTTTAAAAAAAAATCAAGTCTATTCATTGTATTAGTCACTTTATTTTGAAATCTTATTTAACTTTGTTCAGTGTGAAGCTCATCTACACATGTATGAAACATCTCCTGACGAGACCGGTTCTTGCAAAATTTCTAAATTCACTTTAGAAATTAAACAAGTGTTAGCAATCTAGAACGCATATAAGATACCCATAATATAATATTTTTAGTAATTGAGTGTGACACCAAATAAATCGAAAGATCATAGTATTTATTTGATTAATATTTTTTTGAGGGGGGTTGATGCAGGGGCGGAGCCAGCAATATATTTAGGGGTTTATTTGAATTTTCTTGTGCGAAAATATTATTATTTATATATACATAATTAAAATTATTTAGGGGTTTATTTGAATTTTCTTGTGTGAAAATATCGTTATTTATATATACATGATTAAAATTAATTTTTAAATATGTATAACAGATATCAAATCCTCCTTCACTAATTCGTTTACTTCTCAAATTTTGAATTTCATTATTAAAAATCTTGACTCCGCTCTGATTGTGATTCGATGGAGTAGTTGGGATGCATTTAGACCTCACATGCAATGTTCCTTTTTCATATATTAAAGCCCAGCTACTTCTTTTGAACATAATCATGGGCCACCCATCTAAATTCTTAATTGGTGTTGAGTCCCACTTGATTAATTCATGATTCAATTAATTTTCAATGTCTTGATTTGAATTTTTGTAAAACTAATTTAATAATTATTCATGAATATCCAGAATGTCTGGTCTAGGGACCTTATTTGTGAAACTGGGAGTTGAAGTACTCCTTTTGGATAAAACCAAGTATTAAAAAAAATAAAAGTTATTTCTTTTCTTTTATCAAATAAAATATTGGAATGTGTTAATTATTTGGATTCTTGCTTAATGGCTGGATTATGTCTAGGATGGATTAATGAAATTTTATCTCAAACATTACTTTTAAGCTAAAGGTCTACAAGCTATCTAACAAATCAACAAATATTACATTGAGTATGTTATTATATAATAATTAAATTTAATAAAATAGTGTCAAACATCGATGTTATTATATAATAATTAAATTTAATAAAATAGTGTCAAATATCATAAAACTTCATGATTAGGTTAATCAACATCGTAAAGATTTGTCTTTCAGTAAAGTATAATTATCATTAATTAATACGACGTTATAGATTTTTTATTTTTTACCATCAATAATTATATTAGAGTTTGATTAAATTAAATATTTCATTAAAAAGTTTCACGTAAAGGGATAAATTTGAATTTAAAAGGCTTCAAACTCAAAATTTTTCAATTAAAAATTAAAAAAAATAGTTGGCGTTTTACCACGTTCTTTATTGGCGACAACATCATTTTTACTACTTGAACAAAAGAGTAGCAAAAAGTTTATCTTGAAACTTAAAAGTGAAGAAAAATGGGAATATTTCAGTACTTTCTCGTTTTCATTTTACTAGTCTATTATATTCGTAAAAATAATTTTTTACAAATACAATTATTTTTCTTATGTTTTGTCTTTACCATCAACTGTAATGATAAAATATGTATTTAATTTATTTATTCTTTTAAGGGATGTGTAATGTTTATTGTTCTTTTTTTTTAAAAAAAAAAATACTAACTCAATTTTCAATTGTTTCTTAGTAGTTGTCTCAATTACCTAATGGGACACATAGTTCCTTTCTTCAATGGTTCAAAATCCAATATATTATTTTTCTTGGTTATAGTGAGTGATATTCAAAGGTTAAATAATCTTCGCTCTTATCCATAATTTAGATGCTGAGAAAGAGAAAAATAAATCAGTAATTAAGAAAGGTAAGTGGTTTGAAAAGAAGCAAAAGGACAGTAAAAAATAGTAAAGGTAACCTTTGCCATTGTTAGTGATGGACTTCTTCAAAATGAGAATAATCTCATATCACGAAAGATTACCCAAACGAATTTATAATCTCGCAATCTAGTGGTGCCCCTCCCACATCACGTCTAAATAATTCTAAAGACTAATTCACACACTGAAAACTGACTAAAGGCGAATTCTCTTGCCATTCCAATATAAAAATAAATCCTCACCAATAGTCTTACCTCGAAATGGAATTTTTAAAATCTATCTAAATATACTTAAAATTTTTAATGCAAATACCAAACATCGATAGAATAGAAAACTCCAAAAAAAAAAAGAAAAGATGTTTTTTCCAAGACCACATTGACATTATTTGGTGTCCCTTTACTTTTATCATTCAAAATTTACCCTCTTGTCCTCTTCCCCTTCCCCCACTTCCACTCTGCCACCCAACTTTAATTCAAACTTCAAACATTTCAAAGTTCAAATCTTTAAAATATCACTCACTTAGGTAGAAAATTCTACTGCTCCACTCAAAGTATACTGTTTCTCTTTTTCAAGAAAAAGGAAAGGGTTTTTAATGCTGGTAAGTAAGCCCTCATTCATAGGCAATCTTGCATTTACAAAAAGCTAAAGCCTTTTTCTTGATTTTGCTTTGTGGGTGTTTTTCATTTTTTCATTCTCAAGGCTTGTTGTATCAACTTTTGCTTAGAACAAGTAAGATTTGAGGGACATTTTCTTGATATCTCTATTTTTCTCTTCTTTTGTCTTTTCTTGTTGTTTTTGTCTTTGTAAAGATCATAGTTTCCTACTTTTGAAGGACTTGTGTTTGTTTGGTCAAAAGTGATTTATGATTCTCTTTCAAGAACATTAAAATAAGAGCAAATCTCACTTTTTGAGTTTATAATACTAAAGTCATTCAAAGAATTCTAGTTTATATTCTCTTTCACGTTCTATATTGTTCGGACTCTTCAAAGTGCATATTTAAAGGGTTTGATATGAGTGCATTAATACTTTTGGAAAGTTCGAGCAATATAGCTCTATCATTTGTTAGATAGATCTTCAGTTTGGTGAACATTTTGAGTGTATTCATGGAAACAGACATAATAAGATGATATGAAAATATAATATTTGAAACCCCTTCTAGTTTTTATTTTATTTTATTAGGATATCATGTGCACATTTTTCAATGACATTGACATATGCATGGGGTTAAAGGTGTCTGCAAATTTTCCTTTTGCTCTGTTCTAAAAGCATGCGTCTTTCTTTTTTCTTTTGTATATGTCACTGTTGGATTTATTACTTCGTTAATTTGGTGGGTTATTTGTTACACTCTTAAAAGAAGTGTTCTTGGACATTTTTGGCTTTGCTGCAAAAGCTAATAGGTGTAATTTCATTGAATTAGTACTCAAAACTAGTGTTTCCTGCTTCTATTGCTGTGTTTGTATGTTACTTTCTTGAAATTATTTCTGAAAACTTTCAGTTCCAATGCAATGTGGTGAACTTGATGCATTGTGTTGATATGCTTAAAACCGATTTATCCTATTGTTATGTTGTAGTTACTGTTCCTTTTTTCAGTATGCCTTTGTGTAGTATCTTGTCTTGATTTTTTCAATCCTATTATTGAGTGTCGAGGTGTATCGGAAATAAATTATCTACCTTCCAAGGTAGGGGCAAGGTCTGCTTACACTCGCTTGTGTGACTACAATTACAATTGATATGTTGTTGTTGACTTAAAACTGATATTGATCCTTCACTTCCACAGATCAAGACTTTTGAAGTTTTAGAAGCTTTGCATCATTTAACATTTTAAGAAGGAACAATGCCAAGATCAAGGTGAGTTCTTGGGATGATTTGCACTCCCTTTAAAAGCCGTATGAGTAAATGTAAACATGTATTTTAACATGTAGCAGGTTATACGTGTCGCGTTTGTTATTGACTGTTATCATTCTTAAATGTTACATACTTAATATTCATAGTATCTAATAGCAACTTTCTTTTTCAATTTTTGAGAGTATAGGGGATCAGAAATGCCTCAAAGGCAATCTCCTCGAGCCCCTTCGCAACTTAGAACATCAAGCTCCGAGTCTGATCCTATACACCATCGGCCAGTGACTGACCGGAGTCCTAAATTAGGTGATCGTCGCTCACCACGTGGTGCTCAATCTGATCCACTAAATCAAAGGAAACTTGGAACTAGAATTGCAGATTTGGAATCCCAACTTGGCCAAGCACAGGATGAGCTCAAGTCCCTTAAAGGGCAGTTAGCTTCAGCTGAGGCTGCAAAAAAAGCAGCTCAAGAACAGCTTGAGAAGAAAACCAAGAAGCCAACTGTAGCTGATTCTGACCAAATCCAAGAAACCAACAATGACAACAGAATCAACCTGACTCATGAAATTCATGAGGACGATGAAATGAAAGAAGCGGATGTGTTTGAAGTTCCAGTTGAGAAGTTAACTCCTCCAAATGTTGAAATTAGCCACCCCTTTGCTGAAGATGACTTGAAAAGTTCAAGTCTTTCACCTGATGAATCGGTGAAACCATCGTTTGAAGAGCTGAACTTGAAGGATGAAGAGATAAGTTCATTGAAATCCAAGTTGGAGGAGAAAGAAAAAGAGCTTGAGGTTTTCAGCCAAGAAAATGAAAACCTGAAAAAGGAGCTGAATGAAAAGATGCAAGAGATATCATCCCTTAAGGCAAAGGAAGATGAAACAAGCCTCAAGCTTAACCAAGTAGCCCAAGAGCTGGAAACAAGCAAGAATGATGGAGTTAACATAAAGGAGAAACTTGAAGCCACTGAAAAGGCAAAAGAGGCATTAGAAAATGAAATGAAGAAACTAAGAGTCCAAACAGAACAATGGAGGAAAGCTGCAGATGCTGCAGCAGCAATATTATCAGGAGGAGGCATTGAGATGAATGGGAGAAGGCTACCGGAGAGGTGTGGATCAATGGATAAGCACTATGGTAATGTATTTGAACCAGGTGTTGGCGGATATGGCGGTTACTTGGGTTCACCAGGGTTAGTTGATGATTCAGACGATGTTTTTGGACATGGCAAGAGAAAAGGTTCTGGTATTAAGATGTTTGGTGACCTCTGGAAGAAGAAGGGCCACAAATAAGTATCATTTTGATTGTCATGTTTTGCCAGCTAAATGGTCGCTCGCCATTTTATGTTTATTGGCTAATGTATGGATCTTGTTCTTGGCATCTGGCCAATACTACTACTAGTTATGCTGAGTTTAAATTTCTATGTTATCAGTATCTTATTAGCTTGATATGCCTTAACCTGTCATTCAGGGCAATGCCTTTAGTTCCATAGTTTTGAACGTTTTGCGTTTGGTGGATGATAAAATTCTGGTGCATTGTGTGAGATTAGATTTTTAAGCTAGTGTCTATCAGAAACAACCTCTATCCTTCCCATAGAAGTAGCTAAGATTTATATACTTTCTAGTTCTAGCCTCCTCGTACTCCACAATGGGATTACACAAGCCATATACATGATCATAAGTCATAACAAGAGTAATTCTTAATTTCTATATGCAAACCACAATGCTTATTAATGTTGTTCTTTGTTGCTTCTTATGAATGGAAAGTATGTAACACATCCTTTTCCCCTTTGCTATAAGGGTGTCAGTCATAGTAATGTTGTTTTTTCGTCCATTTTCAACGTCAAAAATCGAAAGTAGTTTAAGTTGAAGTTTTATCTGTGAGACAATAAAGTTTAAAAATTCAAATACCGGTAAATCACCCCCTTGTTACTATGATGCTGAAAGTGCACCGGTCAATTACATTGTGACATTGTAGACTCAAAAATTTTGCGTATATTTTCGAGTACTCTTATATCATTTTTTTTTTTATATATAATTATAATCATATTGAACCATGTGTTTGTGAGAGTTTATAATTGTTCTATTATATCATAATCTAGTTTTGACATGACATGTGACTAAAGTAAGTTATACCACTTCCAACCTCCAATCTATTTGATCAAATTATTCTTATTATTCCTCAAACTCAACTTAATATGATTTTATTTTTCATCAGAATAATATTTTATATTTGTTCAGTAAGAGTAAAGATAAAAATTAATAATTAATTATATTTATTTTAAATAATAGAGTAATAATTATTTTGAATAAAAACAAGTAAAATAGGACGAGAAATAGTAAAGTTTAGACAAAATCCAAAAAGAGCGGGACAAAGCATATAACTGTAACAAATGCTCCAGTTGAGCATTATCATGTCAACACGACGTCGTTCTGCGTGGACTGTTGAACGGAGAGAAATTTGATCGGAGAAGAAGAAGAAAGCTAAAAAAAAATGGTGCACAGTGCCTACGATTCTTTCGAACTTCTCAATAGTTGTCCGACGAAAATCGATGCTGTCGAGTCTTATGGTTCAAATTTGCTTGTTGCTTGTTCCGATGGATCCCTCCGTGTTTATGGTCCTGAATCCTCCGTTCCCGGTCAATCTCCGCCGGCCGATTACCACAACCAGAACTTAGGGCTTCAGCAGGAACGATATGTGCTTGAAAGAACTGTGAATGGATTCTCCAGAAGACAAATGCTGGCTATGGAAGTCCTTGTCTCAAGAGAACTCCTGCTTTCCCTTTCGGAGTCTATTGCCTTCCATAGGTTGCCTAATTTGGAGACTTTAGCTGTGATTACTAAGGCTAAAGGTGCAAATGTGTATTCGTGGGATGATAAAAGGGGGTTTTTATGCTTTGGGAGGCAGAAGAGGGTTTGTATCTTCAGACATGATGGTAATTACTTGAATTGTAGTTTATTCCGATATTTGTTAGTTGAAATTTGAAAATTTTATATTGATGCATTTCTGATGATTTTGGATGAGTGAGTGTGTCCTTCAATGTCTACTAGATGTGAAAGAAAGTGTTTTTACTGTGGTATGATGTTACTAACATAATTAGAGCTATGCTTTACCATTATAAAGGTCATCGTTAAATGTGCTAAAAGAATTCAATCTGTATCTGTTTTTGCCTCCGGTAAGTGGAGAAATAACCTTGAAAGGGAGCTAACCTTTTGCAGATCTTGCGGAATTAGCTATGCCTCTTGTATTTGCTACTAAAATATGACAATATTTGAGCAGACATAAAGATATTAACTTGATTTATATGTTACAGTGAGGCAAGTATAAGAAAATATTAAACTCATGGTTGAAAAGATAATTGATACAGTAAACATCAGATAACGCCGGTTTCTTAAGTAGATTAATGATTTGAATTTTCGGAAGTTGTATAGAAATGGAATGGTTCAAAACAGTTTTTGACATCCAAAATAGCTGGAGGGAGGTATAGTTTTCTGGTCACTGCTTTTAGTTTAACACAAGTATCATAAGTGCCCATAAATACTTCCTTCTTGCACTTCTTGACTTGACTTCCAGGTTTCTTGCTCAAAGAAGTTTGGATATTGATGATAGTAGTTTTCTTGTGCTATAGGAGCTCTGTTAGTGTAATCTGATTCTTTTTTGAAACTTCAATAGGGGGGAGAGGATTTGTGGAGGTGAAAGAATTTGGAGTTCCTGACACAGTCAAGTCGATGTCTTGGTGTGGTGAGAATATCTGCTTGGGGATTAGAAGAGAGTACATGATATTGAATACTACCAATGGTGCATTGTCTGAGGTGTTTCCTTCGGGGAGGATCGCCACACCTCTTGTGGTGCCTCTTCCCTCTGGAGAACTTCTTTTGGGCAAGGTAATGTAACAATGCTATTTTTTTAGAAAGGTAATAATGTTATATCTCATCAGCACAAAGGTTGTGCATAAACCATGTTGACATTTCAAAAGAAGCAAAATATCTCCTTGCTCTTCGTACAGGGATTCTATGATTTTTATCAATGTTTCAGCATCATCTAGGAATTTTTCCTTGCATCAAAAATGAAATAAGATCTGACAGTTCATCTTGCCAAAGCTGGTCAACTCCAACCCTTACCACACAACACATTTTGAACACAACTGCAACCCCCGGTTCATCAAGTTGTCTTGAGTCGAGCATGATTTTTATCACCAGCCAAAAGAAAAAATTGCCACCTTGTAGGGTATCTTCACTTTCCACATATGCTTCCAAGGCCATTTCGGCCCCTGCTGACCGTTATGCATGTGTACTATATTGGCGGATTTACCGTGTAAATACCTTTGCTATGCACCTGCAAAAATAATCTGTCTTCAGTTGCTGTGTTACCTGGGAAATGTTCCAAACTTCTGAGAAATTCAGTTATTCTATTCACTTCCTAGTCTTTCAACATTCTTCTAAAGCTTATCACTGTCATTATTGCATTGAGTTGATTGGCCTTTTAGTTCTTTTCCACACTCATGTACACACCAATATTGACCATCTTCCCAAAGTGTTCTTTTCAAAATTCACATACCAGAGCTTCATTCTATCCATGAAGCAAATAAAAGATACTTTTACTTCAGAACTATTTCATCTTATGATGCACCCTCCATTCTTATTCCCTTGATGATGTTGATTCCACAGAATCTATAGTCTACTCTCTATGATTTAGTTGATGAAGCCATGTTGGATCATCTCTCACTTCTCCCGAGTAAAGTCCATCTTTGATAACTAACTGTCCAGTTTTCTTTTTGTGTATTGAATCAACACCAGTTTGCTTGGTTCTGGTTTTTTTTCCAGTAAAATTACCTTTACTTATTAAAAAAAAGGATATTCGAAAATCACCACTATGCTTAATTTTTGTTGTTTCAGGATAATATTGGTGTCTTAGTTGACCAAAATGGAAAGTTGATCCAAGAGGGCAGGGTTTGTTGGTCAGAGGCTCCTGCAATTGTTGTTGTTCAGAAGCCCTATGCCATAGGTCTTTTACCGCGACATGTTGAGGTAGCTTTATTGTTTCATTTGCTAATCCATACTTTTTGTTCATTATTAAGTGAATAACTTTAGATCTAAGTAATCTGAAATGATAATGCAGTTTGATGTTTTGGAAAATTGCAGATACGCTCTCTTCGTGTTCCTTATCCTTTGATTCAAACAGTTGTCCTTCGGAATGTTCGTCGTCTTGTTCGAAGCAACAATGCTGTCATTGTTGCTCTTGATAATTCTGTTTTTGGATTTTTCCCTGTTCCTCTCGGTGCACAGGTAATTGTCACTTCAGCAGGTTTAGTTTAATATTGTGTTGAACTATCTTGCTTATGCTTCTACTCCAGTATTGGAACTGTACCACATTTATGATGTGTAACTGAACAACTCGTTTTGGAGGAACTGAGGTTTGTTATGACTAAGCTGAGAATGCCTTAGGCACACAAACGGATTGTCTAATTCTTGCAAAATAAATCAATAACGGATTGTCTAATTCTTGCAAAATAAATCAATATCGCAAGTTGTAAGTAGTCATGATTAGTTTTGTTTATGAGACCTCTGCAATGCTTTCCGCTGGTCAACAACCAACTAAAGTGCTCTATACTTCCGTACATGCTTGACAGAGTTGTCTCAGACTCTCAGTCAATCGTTTTTTATTTTAACGATTCACTTATCAAATGCCTTATGGGCTTTCTCTCTTTTTCCCTAATACATGCAAGCCTCTTACTTTTTGTACCCACTTAAGATCAAGAGGTTCAGGAACAAAACCACAAAGGTTCCATTATTTACTGAGTTTATTGTGAGAGCGTGATCCCAACTTATTCATATATAATATATGATGCAGATTGTACAACTAACAGCCTCTGGAAACTTTGAGGAGGCCTTGGCTTTGTGCAAATTGCTACCACCAGAAGATTCAAGTCTTAGATCTGCAAAGGAGCAATCAATTCATATAAGGTGACCCCTTCCCCAAACAAAAAAAAAAATGGCACTGGTATCTCATTTAGATATTTCTCAGCACCTTCTTGTTTGTGCTATTAATGAATGTTTTACTTTGGTCATGGTCCCTTCCCCCCCCCCCCCCCTCTTTACCACTTCTTATGTTAACATTGTAAGTTCAATTGCAATAGTACCTCGCTTAAATCAAAGTTACGGTGTATACATTCTTACATTTAACTCAAATCAAAGTTATGCTCTAGTGAGGGAAGTTGAATGCTAAATTGAACGGTCAAAGCATGCTGTGAAGTCCTAATGGTAAAGCTTCTAAATGGAAACATCTGTACTGGAGCATACACTAATCATCTGTTATTCCATTTTGGTCTGGCGTATTGTAATGGTATGTAGCATGGAACATGTTCAGAGTTGATTGTGTGTAACTTGGTTGTGTTAAAGGCATATTGATAGCGTGGAAGTTCAGAAGAAAGAAGTAGAGAAGTAGAGCATGGGAAGCAC